CAAAGTCAATATCACTTCCAGAAAGTTTATAGAAGAAGGTATTGAATGGCAAGTTATCCAGCACGTTTCTTTGCAGGGACACAGAGAGGGCTTTGCACTTTTGTGGGTGGAACTTCATTCGATTTCTCACTGACCAATCATACAATCTATTGATGTCATTTTGGATTATGTGATGGTCAGGGTAACCAAGAATCTCCCTCCAAATTTTAGTGTCATCTGCATAAAGGGCGATATTGGTGCCTTCAGAGACACAGGAGAACATGTCATTTATAAATATTACAAACAATAGAGGACCAAGTATAGAACCTTGAGGGACACCAGACCGAACTGGTAGAGAGGAAGACGTTTGGCCTCCTATCACTACTTGTTGTTGTCGCCCCTCAAGATAGGACTTGATAAATTTAAGCATTAGTCCATCGACATTAAAAATATTCTTTAATTTACTTAAAATGAGGTCATGCGAAACGCTATCAAAAGCTTTCGCAAAATCAAAATATATTATATCAGTCCTGGACCTGTTGTTCAGTGCAAGTGCAAGATTGTCCGTGAAAGGTATCATTTGGGTTGTGCATGAACGTTCATTAACAAAACCGTGTTGTCGGTCATCCAACAGATCAGAACATGCAGCGTATAATGCAGTCTTTATGCACCTTTCAAAGACTTTCATTACAAGAGATGTTAACGAGATAGGCCTGTAGTTCTCAACCGAAGACTTATCGCCCTTTTTGTGCACTGGTACTACAAGTGCCAGCTTCCAATCAGGGGGTATAATAATAATAATAATAATAGGATTATGGCCACATGGCCATCTCGACAAAACTTGAAACCCAACTGCACTCTACGCTATTGCAGTTCGCACAATATTATCAAAAAGAAAAATGTTCCTATCCGGAACATTTAATGATTAATTATTTTTAGGACGTTAACATGTAGTTCTGAATTTAACAATCAAGAAACATTGATTCCTCGGTATTTAGCAATCAATGGGTTATTAGACATGAAATGTGCATATGAATCATGCTCACATGTATTTATTTTTGACATCAAGGTTTCGCTGAGATCCCAGAAGTGACCCTTTGACGATGCTCCACTCGCTATCAGTTCATTTTTATAACATTGAAGTCGAGCTTTGAATGCGTCTACTGAACTGGCTTCTTTAACCGAACTTGGTACTTTGTTCCAGTAATTGGCAACACGGTTACTGAGGACCTGATTTCCTCTTTTATCTTTTAGGATCTTGGTACCGCTACGTGATATCCTGAAAAGATCTTGTCCATAGTCCACTTTACCCGTCGTTATTTTAAAGGTTTCAATAAGATCACCCCTCATACGGCGCTCCAGTAGTGTTGTTAACTGGAGGATTCTCAGTCTCTCATCGTATGGTAGGATACCAATCCCGTCGATTATTCGTGTAAATTCTCTCTGAACGTCTTCTATCTTCTTAATAGTCCTCCAGTTTCCGTGCTCTGCTGGTAGATTCCACACTTGCACAGCGTATTCGATGTGAGGTCGAACTAGAGTTCTGTAGACATTTAGCATAACAAATTTGTTACGGCAGATCAAACTTCGTTTGATCCAGCCTATAACAGACTTTGCTTTTTTCACGGACTTATCTATATGATCACTCCAGTCCAGGTTTCTGGTAGTTAGAACTCCAAGATCCTTTTCTGTCTTCACTTGTGGGAGGCGTTCCCCATTCATGAAGTACTCGTGCATTGGATTGTTACGCCCAATATGTAGTACCTTACACTTGCCATCCTTCACATTGAATCTTAGGAGCCATTCCTTCTCCCACGCATTGAGTTTCAGTATATCATCTTGTGCAACACTGTGCTTAGCTGTGCTCGTTACTAGCTTAAGATCGTCCGCAAAGAGTGATACGAAGCTCTCAATTCCATCAGGGAGATCATTTATGAAGAGCAGGAAGAGCAGGGGGCCCAGCACGGTTCCTTGAGGGACCCCAGATGTTACAGCAAACACTCTAGAAAATGATGATCCAACCCTGACGCGAAATGTTCTTCCTGTTAGAAAGTCTTCCACGACTGCAAGGGTGTTGCCAGATATTCCAAAGGATTGTAATTTTCTCAGCAATCGTTTGTGTGGTACAGAATCGAAAGCCTTCTGAAAATCGAGATACAGTATATCAGCTGACCCGTCCTTCTCTAGTATCTCACTGACAATGTCCATACATTCCAGTAGGTTCGAGACGCAGGATCTTTTTGGTAGGAAACCGTGTTGTTCATTCACAATCATGGGGGATACGTGAGCTAGAATATGGTTCCTTAAAAACCTCTCAAAGATCTTGGAAAGAACGCACGTTAGGCTAATAGGGCGATAATTGCTGGCTTGGGATTTATCCCCCTTTTTATGCAATGCAGTGACATTTGCCTGCTTCCAGATTTCGGGAATCTTTCCCTCGGTATGCATCCGCTTGAGAAAGACAGGTTAAATAAAACACTAAGTGGGTATGCAAGGCTTTGGGCACAGTTTTTGAGGACTTTCCCATGAATCCCATCAGGGCCAGGGGCCTTGTTAGGATTTAACTTTTTAAGAATCAACAGAACATCTTCTTTACTAAACACAAGACTGGAAAAACAATCATCACGAAAATCTATGTCAATGCCATAATCGCTCTCTTGAGAAAACTGCTCATAAAAATATTCGTTAAAAAGGGCAGCTTGATCAGATGGATTGTTTCGAAAGCGATTATGATATTTAACAGTTTCAGGGATCCTGGTTGACTTTGATTTAGATTTAACGTAGGTCCAGAATTTCTTGGAGATAAGAGCATCATCGGAGTCATCCTCAACACTGAGTCTCATTCTTTCGTCCATCATATTTTTAAATTTTGACGTTACTTAGACGTCTGTTGAGCTTCTTGGCGGGAGTTTCCTGGCAAGATGATTGCACATTGTTGGTCGGCTTCAGGAGACCTTCAGTGGCACTTACTTCGGTAATATCAGTGTCGTTATCCTCTGTCTCACTTGATTCTTTAACCTCGTCTGTTTTCCCAGAGCCGTTTGCCATCATCACTGTTGCATTAGTCAGCCAAGGTGGTGGAAACAAACTACCAAGTTTCAAAACAGAAAAATCAAAAATTGAATTGGAAAAACAACCGGGTTGAGAGATCTGTTTACACGAGGTTTTACTAGAACTAAGACATTGGTTTTCTACTTCTTCACTGACGTAAACAGGAACGGTAGGGGCCAGTGGTCTGCTTCTGAGTTCCCTAAGTAAAAGTAGCAAAATAGCGGCTATGAGCGTTGCAACAAGGAAGCAGAGGCTCAAAAGGACAACTACAGCTATCTGAAACCAGTCCCCAACTCGCAGAGACCTGTCACTACCCAATCTGTTACACTGTGCACTGTGAGTGGGATTGTGAGGAGTGTATGTGGGGGAGTTGCTATGCTGAAGGACGAGTACACTCAGTTGAGACGCGGTTCGCGACGCATGCAGAGACAAGGCGCGAGGAGGCGGAGCTCTACTAGTGGGCTCTGGCTGGGAAAGACCAGCGGGCGCGGAACGAAACCTAGAAGAGGCGTGCAGCAGTGACATGGCTGGGCAAGAGGACCGTAACATACTCGTCATAAAACCGTCATTAAGTTCATTCATAACGTTAGAGATATATCTACTGCATATGTTATAAATTAAATTGCTGTTTAAACGCTCGAAACTGTAACTCACATTCCAAAACCACACTATAAATTCATGTCCTTGTCTGCCCCATACCTTAAAGTAATACATGCAAGTTCCTACAATGTTCATCAATGTTTTAACGCAGGACTGCAATAACTCCAGGAATATTAGCTCGAAAAGTCTTGTGCAATGTACAATTACTATTTTAATATGTTCTATTGCGTGTAATGTACTTTTACAAATAGTTCTTCTTATCTCTATGTAGTTGTACGACTGATAGTGGCCATTACAGCAATTATCATTTAAAGTTTCCAAACCATTTCTAGAGTGGTAATTCGGTGTCTGTTCGATGTTTGTTGAGTTTATGTTCTGTTTTGTGTTGCAGTTCCAATCTATTCCTCCATCTGAGATGTTGCTGCCAGGATCGTACGTTAGACTAAGTGCAGGAGCGGTAGCAGTCGGGACTGTGCCAGGACCATAAGTTAGACCATAAGTTAGACCAAGGGGTAGATCAGGAGCAATCGGGACTGTGCCCTGGCTGGCCAGCATGGCCGCCAGGGCGATTGTTGATAATATTGTGGCTGACGTGGCTTTTTCGAATCAACGCGCATTAAAATCAAACCAAATCAACGTGTACAAATGTATATCAAGGATTCTCACCCTGTTACTACGAATATGTTTGTGTCATCTGCAAATAGTATACTCTTGCCCAGATCAGTTGTTATAAATAAGTCGTTAACATATATTATAAATAGCAGGGGTCCGAGACAAGAGCCTTGGATTTAATAATAATAATGCTATTATTCCCGGTCCACCCAGCCGAATGCTCGAGAAATCGTGTGTGAGGGTTAAATGGGGAGCTGTGCAATATAGTACAGCGAAAAAGCAAAAACTCAATGGATGGTTACCGTAATGGGTGCCACATGCCTAGCATGAAATATTTACCTACTTACTTGCACTTGTGTAGGTCTGTAGAAGCATTAGAATCAGGCGTTGCCTGCCACAGGCTATCCCGAATTTAGAAGCTTGCTTTCATCATGCTATTATTTGATTAGTGGTAACATGAAATAGCAGAGCTCATAGCATACCCAAAAGGCCAGGTATCTGCAATAGAAGTTCTAAAACCTGTGGTTATTACTCAGATTTTTGCAATTTTAATTTATTATTATAATTATATTTTTGAGGGTGTCTAACCTTATAGTTAGACAATTGCCATTTCCGAATTTAACTGTGTATATTGTTTAAATGAATTATAAAACCTGTGGCATAAAATTGAATCTTTGACGGCTGAACTCATGAATGAGTAGGACATGCACTGTTAAATACAGTCAAGTATTGCACACTAACTATTGGGCCCATGCCCCATAATTTATAAATTAATATATTCCAAAGAAATGGCTGAATTCAAGAAATCTGGAAAACGTCGGAATGTCAGGAAAAGGGAAAAAACCAGTAGTGACTCTGACGAAAACAATTCAGCCTCTAGCTCTGTTGTGAGAGGAGACAAAAGAGTAACCCCTGCCAATCCTCTGAAATCAGCCACATGCTCAGTTAAAAAGCTGAAAGAGGTAAGCAACTATTAAATTTGAAAAACGATTAAATGATATATTGCTATGGGGTGGCAACTGGCAAGTCCCCATACATCGCAGTCAGGTAGTTTCTGATTTTCCACTCCTTAATTTACCACAAACCCTGATTTGCACAGCCAGTTGCTTCCCTCAATGAGGGCCAGGGCTTAACCATGATATACCGCAAACCCCAATTATCTGCGGCTGTTTCCTTTCACCAAACTCTGTGGTAGATTAGGGTTTTACTGTACCATAATATGAAATTAAATTAGCAGTGCTTTATCTGGACAACTGTCAGTTAATAAATTGGAAACCAAATTGTTCTCTTTTTAGGAAAGAGAAGCTTTCTTGCCTGCTATTCAGTCCACTAAAACTGATGCACCAGAAATTGATGGGGGAGCTACAAGAACATTTGAATTAGACACAGCTAAAGAAGTTGATTCAACTACTATCTACAAACGAAATCTTGAAATGAGCAAGAAGGATGATGTAAATGAGGAGTACAAAGAGGTATGCAGTTTTAGCACTAACAATGTTGTGATCATTTAAATGTTTTTAATTAAAGACTATTATAGAACTTCAAAATAAAATAGCTGATTTTGCATGTAAACCTTAATTTGATATAATGCATACATTTTCAGTGGTGTCTGTTTCTTTCTTGGCATGATATGATGTGTTGTCACATTTTTTTCAGGTATATAAAGGCAGTGGTGCCTATCAAAAGTTCATAGAGGTCAAAGATTCAGTGGTTGCAAATGCTGGAGGAGGTCAATTGAAACAAGGGCCTATCCGACGCCCTGATCACTTGAGAGCCACTGTTAGATGGGACTATGCTCCTGATATTTGTAAGGTAGGTTATCCCTACAACCTTAAACTATTAAATTCATAGTTCATGCAAAGCCAATACTTTGAACTAGCAGTATCACGATAGTAATGTATTATGTAGAAACCTTTGCTTCTATAATCTATTATATGCATCTCAATTATATTTCAGGATTATAAAGAGACTGGTTTTTGTGGTTTCGGTGACAGCTGCAAATTTATGCATGACAGAAGTGATTATAAAAGTGGCTGGCAGCTGGAAAGAGAATGGCAGGCACAGGTGAGGTTATCTAGAGTGTTTAAAGATCAAGCCATGACATATTTACTTGAATTGTGGACTATAAACTATCATTAAGTCTGCAAAGTGTAAAAAACTTTTAACTTATTTCAATAATTTGAAATCAAACTTTGTTGATGATAGCTAATTATACTTGGCATAATTTCAGGAGTACGGTGCACGAGAGAACGATAACTATGAAGTATCAGATTCAGATGATGAAGATCTTCCTTTTGCTTGTTACATTTGCCGGGAAAAGTTCACAACTCCTGTTGTTACAAAATGCAAGCATTACTTTTGCGAGACATGTGCTCTGAAACATTACAAGAAAACCAAACGTTGTTTTGTGTGTGAAGCTAATACTGGGGGAGTTTTCAATCCTGCCAAAGAAATAATAGCCAAAATGAAGGCTGCTGAAGAAGCATAGAGACGATGTTGTATTAATAGTCAAAACAGAAAAGATGAGACACAAAATTTAAGTCTTAAATCAGAGTGCAATCTAAGTTGTGTTAAAGCTGCATTATGGAATTATCATCAGCCTATAGGAAAGGCAAAATAATGTCATTATATGACATAATACTCTTTGATTACCAGAGCTTTTTAATCTTGGTAGGTATCATCTATTTGACATCCTATTTCTAGATGACGCTTCCAATGTACAAAAACAGAACTTTTTGCTTTCTTGAAAAGCAACTCATTAGAGGCACCATTTTGTTGATCTTAATTATTAATTATCCATTCATTATGTACAATTTAATAATTGAATCGAAATTAGAATTAGAATTAGAATTAGAATCAAATTTACACAGCAATACAATAAGAATAAAAAATAATTTAAGAAGCTTCAATCTGCTGTGCAGGACATTCAAGTCAGTCGAAAACTGTTAGCAGAACACCCTTCTAGGGACATAAGGATATAGTTTGTAAAACATAATGAGTAATAAATTAATGAGTGATAAAATAAGATATGAAGAAATTTTATTTACATTATCTTACATAATATTATAGTAAAAAGCTGATTACCATTTCATACTATTTCATTAGATATCTGAAACGCTTACGTGATACTGTTAAAACTATGATTTAGAGCGCATCATCAATCAATGTCCCGACATAGAAGAGAACTACAAAATGTGGCAACACAAGTATCAAGTAGTCTTGTGGCCCGTCAGAGAAATGGTATTTCGGAGGACAGTGCAATGATGAGAAGTGAACTTATTGACTGTACAATACGATGTTGCAGAAATTTTATTCTGCGAAAAAATGGACTAAACGTCAAGCAAAACCAAATTTGTATTACCGATGATCATAGAAAGCGTGTAAAAATGGTTTATTTAAACTACCTTCTATCAATGCTTGACTTTGGCAGAAAGCGATCCATTAATACAAAGTTGACAAACATAAGATTGATGACAGATCCCCCTTCTGCTAAACTGTACTCAGATGTTTATTCTGCAATATCCCTTCAAAGAGGGAAGCCCAAGTTCGAATTGGTAATTGAGGTTATTGAAAGATGTCTTGCATATGTAACAGGCAAGCAAACTGCAAATATGGATAAAGATAGAGATGATATTCACCCTAATAAGATCATCCCTGATCAACCAATTAACGATTTCAAACGACTGTATGTAACAAACAAACAAACTACAGATATGGATAAAGATGATATTCGATCTGATAATATAATGCCTTATCTACTAAAACATTGTCAAAAAAATTATCTGATGGATCTTAGTAACAGTATTTCCCGGGCTTTAATGAAGAAGAGGTCTAAAACAGAAAAGGTGACTCCTTTCTATGGAATTTTATGGAACGATGAAATTTCTTTGTGTTTTCAGCGACTCCTTCAACCTCTCTACTGTGGAATACCTGGTATTTACTCCACCATACACCAATTAAATGTTAGTGATCAATTATTTATCTGACCACTATTTATTCAAAACTTAACTTTGTATATATATATATATATTATATATATATTATAATTTGAGATAGCTATGGGGTGATAAAGTATTGAGATTTGAAATTGATGTCACATTTAGGTCACGTAGGTCACAGGGTACTTATCTCAGAAACTATAAAGGACAGAGCTCACATTTTTCACCTTAAATGGTTTTGTGTGATCTGAACAATAAGCATGTTTTACGATTCTGATAGGAAAATTTCCAACACAGAGCTGTTAATACACCAAAAGCAAGGCCAAATTTCCACGTAGGTCACTCAAGAAATGTACATTACACTTTAACAATCAATACAATAGAAGAGAACAATCTGGAAAATTTTGCTTTGGTGAAAAATGGTGAAATGCTTTGGTGAAAAATGGGGAAATTTTACAATTTGGGAACCCGAATCACCATAAACATCATTCACCATTTTGCACTATTTTAAGATGGATTATGATTTATATTTCTCACAAGGATTGAAGATCTATATATATAATCATGATTTCACGATAGAATAACATCCTGAAAATGCTTAGAAGTTGTTATCTTAGTTGACACTAACCATTTTGAAACTTTTTCATATTCTATTAATTAAATATAGATTTCGATTGAACTACATATTATATATTAAGAGTCTTATTTAGTTCTTCCTCAATAGATGGACCATTTAAAACTGTATCTACGTGAATTGATGTACCTATGTTGAAGATTTGATCCATGAGTATCAAGACGCTTTTAAAAGAAAAGCAGAGATACCAAAGAAGAAAATTAGGCCAAAACGTGACGAATCTAATCAAGTTAAGTGGGGGGGGGGGGGGGATGCAACGACCATTAATGTCAGTAGATCGAATTTTGTCAAAACTGACATTGTCATTAATGGTCATTAATGGTCATTAATGGTCATTAATGGTCATTAATGGTCATTAATGGTCATTAATGGTCATTAATGGTCATTAATGGTCATTAAATAATTGAAATTCTGAACTATCTTGGAAGCAACATGTCCAAGAAATTTACAATTATGATCACTTTGTATCACTTCTATAAAGTTTCTCACAGCCCCCTACATCGATTGCCAGAGTCTCGTTTGAGAAAACGAATTAATATTCGCCTAATAGAGGCTCGGACCTCGGTTTCGGAATGAGTGCCAATCACCATTCTGTTATACGTTGGTAACTTGTCTTGTCTGTTTGCTTGTTTGCATTTGACTTAGTATAAATGCTTGTTTGCAGTTGACTTAGTATACATGCTTGTTTGCAGTTTGCGTGGATTTGAATTGTATTGATTTCCTTTATTTGTGTTGATTGCTTTTGATAATTTGGATTTTCAATACCTCCTCACAGTACCTTCTATGCCATCGTAAGACGATATTTGGAAATAAAAGTCGGAGATCGAAATTTTTTGGTACCGGCTGTTTCGAGGGGTCTGTGCCATACCAACCGGGCTGCAAAAATTCTTCTAAGCCCTGTCAACGTCGAACAATTCGAAAGGGCGACTCATTTAGTGCTACCTTTGTTCCAAAAAATGCTAAACGTCCCCTTCGTTGCCTCGGTACCATCTTATCAATGAGTGTCTCTGCTTCAAAAAAGGGCAACTGCAGATCTAGACGAATTCCTGCCGCATCAATTTGTCCCTATCATGATGACAGTGCTCGATTTTGGGTCAAAACTTTAAACTGCCAAAGGCAGAGTATTGAACTGTAAACGAATTGTTCTATCTAATCCTAGGAAAAGATCAGCTGTTTTGTTGTCCGATTCAGACTGATGACGATGTATTTAATGAAGTGCTAAAGTTGAATAAATTCATCTACTGTGTAATTACTATATAATCGACTAGCATAATGATTTGGCTAAAATATAAATCTTGATATGATATAAGAACGGGAACGAAGTATTTAATTTTAATACCCGTGTTATTATTATTTTATTATTGATTGTTATTTTACTATTGATACGATCTGATACTCCTAAATTTCCCTTTGAATTATTATTATTGATAACTATAAGTCACCAACTGTTATCTGGTTTAAATCCCGTGGCCGCAAAATTTGTTCTTCATTACATTCGAACTTAATAAATGTAATTCCTAACTCACTCTGGAATCCACTCAAGTGATAATATTCTGGAAGGTCTGCCTAACCACGGAAAAATCTATTCTAAGTTTTCTCTTTCGAATCTCTAATTGTAAATGTAAAATAATAACATATACTTGTAGTTAGTTAACTTAAGGTAGGGTCTAAGTGATGCAGGCGTCCGTCCTTTTCGCTCTAAGAAGTGCCGGAAAAAACATGACCATTAATGTCAGTAGATGAAATTTTGACAAAACTGACATTGTCATTAATGGTCATTAATGGTCATTAATGGTCATTAATGGTCGTTGCATACCCCCCGTTAAGTGTGATATGAATGAGTGATGCAGATGAAGTCATAAAAGGAAGAATTACCTCAATCAGCAACTAAGTGTGCACACTGAATTGTGGCCCACCCTGTAGAAATGGCAGTTGAGATCAGTGATAAATAAGGGCCTTACGGTATTTCTACTCGAAACTCTAGGAACTCTGAACATATTTCACTAAATGTATTTCTGACTGTAGAATCGATTAAATGATGTTAATGTGTATTTTGATTGGCTGAACTTACTGAGAATTTCTTAAAAAAACCGTCAATTATAAATCGTTGCACTACATTGGCTACTCTAGAACTCAGGATCAAACTGCACTGCTTTAATTTCGTCATGCTACATAAAATTGAGATATAATGCCTACGGGTAAACCGCCCCTAAAATGTCACCCACCCCTAAAACGCCACTCTTGATTGATTGGATCCCATCTTCTTAGAAAGTATCTTACCTAATCATTTGTAACTCCTAAACATAAAAAAATATCATTCAGACCCTGCCACATCCTGAAATTGAATCTAAATGATGCCATAAGGGCATTTTTTTCACTTTGTACGAATTTTTTACTTTTGAAAAAAAAACGCACAATTTTATAACTCTGGAATTCATTAATATTAACTCGGTTTTGGTCTAGGATAGTGATATTTACATATTTTAGCAACTTTGTACATATGACTGGAGATATGGAAAGTTATACATTACTCAATATTACTACCCTCCCCTAAAATGTCACCTGGCCGCCCCCTAAAATGTCATTTTATCAGATTCTGGCTTTGAGACTACAAGCACCATAAAATGGAGGTACCAGCCTATTAAACATCATATTTAGCATCTAATGGTAATATTGGAAAGCTTTGGCAGCTCAAGGAATTAGTTTTATTTTATTAATTGCATGGATGATGGACCGTATGGGTAACGCCAGCGGCGGAGAGACGACAACATCGCCCTCCGTAATGTTTACCTCAGCTGCAGGACGATCCCTGTTTGCTACACTCCTCATCAGCTTCGCCACCTTTAACATACGTGGCCTCGGTTCTTGTGATGATCCAGACGACATCCACAGCAAACGGGAGCAACTGGGTACCGATTGTCTACGGTACGGCATAGATATCTGCGCTATTCAGGAGACTAAGGTTGTAAAACCGGATTCTTGCAGTCTTAGCAACGGATACAAACTATTATTGTTTGAGCAGAAAAATGGCCGGCACTATGGACTCGGTTTTGTTATCAGTCCCCGATTTATTGACTATGTGGTATGCTGGAACAGTATCAGTGATCGAGTAAGCTTTTTGGACCTAGAACTCCCTACAAAATCTGGAAAATTTATCAAATGTAGGGTGGTCAATGTATATGGGCCACACAAGAAACTTGCAAAAAATGATCAACAACTGTTGATTAATTTTTACGGCCAAGTTAGGGACGCTCTAAACGTCCCTGCTAATGTTGAGATATTTGTTAGACTTGTTATCAGAATT